GTATTATATAAAGCGCTAGACAAATAAATGTGACTTGACTTGACTGGATTCCTCCCTCTGTATGCTTAGAATTGTTTAGTCTGACCACCAGAACCCTTTATGATAGGAAGTCTTGATCTTATGGTCCACATATTCACAGAACACCTTCAAATCCCACAATCCCATACACACTTCCAGAAACCTCCTCTAAATAATTATCTCTCTTTATGTCTGTCAAAGACTGTTAGAAACCCCTGCACCAGAAATGGAGAATGGAGTTTATGTTGTGCCAATAACATTGTGAGAAAACTTCTATTCAAATGACTAAAATTCTTCAAGTAATGTTTGATATAATTTAACTTACAGATCACCACTAAAGCCAAACAGTACAGACTTTATGACCCTCAGTATGCTGTAGTAGTTCAGAGAACTGTGGTGTTACCTCTAAAAATAAAATTACATTTGACCGTGAGTTAAAACGGCCCATCTTAATTCCGTAATGTGGTATATTTTAGTCAAACAGAATATCTAATAAGAAAATATGTAGGACGAGACGATGTTATCCATCTGGGATTGATTGGATGATGAAAAGTGGCCGATCCGTACAAGCACAGAGTCAGAGCTGAATGTGAGCACACAGTGGATCTTGGAGGACTAACTCTCCTCCCGAAACACTGCCGGCACCCACTTCTGAGGAGGCTTTTTGATCGGGATAGAGCATGTGCATGTATCCCTTCTCAAATCTAGCATTACTTGCTATTATTGCGGTGACAATAACGACAAAAGCACCAGATTACTGAATAAACCATTTGCAAGATTTCAGAAGGACTGCTTTACCAACCATAACCAGCTGAAAGCAGTGCCTAAACATATTGGTTAACATTAACCAGTAGCCCACATGGCCAAGGTGACACCAGCTGAAGAGTCATTTTGATTAAGGATTAAAACACAAAACAACTGTGCTAATAGTGTGGCCAATTATGATTGTCTGTTCAATATACATTCTGCTTGTGTCAATCCAGAATTATTTTGAGAGCATGCAAAATGTTATTATTTGACAGGCAACTCATACTTACCTTTTGAAAAATGCGCTATTAGGTTGCAGGCACAAAAACTGCCAGTAATCCAAACACAGAGCTTTAAATCTTGACATTTTCAGGGCTAAACGCTCAGTCAGATGGCAAAATGATCAACCTCCGTTTTCACCTGAGAGACGCGAGCCAAAGATTCGTGCAGCAGAGAAGATCTCTGTGTGTGTTACATGATGTCTGCAGGTCGTGCAATGCTGCAATGAATCTGATGGGCCAAACACACCTGACAGTCCAACCGTCCAGCTTTCTGCTTCCTTCTGCGGCTGTGAAGAACCCAAAGCATCCTCAAGAGCTCACAGCCAAACCCTGTACACTGTGTATCCAGGAGGAGATTCCTACAGCATTCAGCCACTTTGATAAGGAAACCAGGTCAGCTCCAGATCCACCCTCACTGCATCAGCTTCAGCCTCTTCACATACAGATCCAGCAAACACCCAGAGGATGGAGTCTCTGACATGCACCTCAGCATATTTATCATATTGATATGCATTTGCTGGCTCTAAGAGTGAACTTCCAGAGCGCAGGTGCTCCTTGCTGCAGGATTTTTGCAGGAGTGCATTTCAGCTACTGCATCCATGAAGAGATCTCCACCTATACATGCTGAATGCCGGTTGCCTGGCAACAACATCACTACTGAACTTGCAAATGGTTTGCTGACAATACTCTGGTGGTTCAGCTGTCAGAAGGGAGTGACTCCCTCATCCTCAATACTACGATGTGATGTACATAAACCACAGTGTATATTAATTCTACTGCATTGAAAAATAGTGCGCTCTTGCAGTAAACAAAGACATGCAAAGCAGCTTTTCTCATCAGACCCATCAGTAAGGCTCAAGTACTCCTCCAAATGGCCATTATTGCAATGATTCACAACAGAAGCAGTTTGAGAAACAGAGCATTTCGTTTGATATTGGTGTGATTGGCTGAGAGACATCTGATGGCACATGCCCAGCTAACAGGGAATGTTATTTGTACTTGATGAACATTCTCACAACGCTGAGAAAATGTTCTTAGAACAACATTCTCAGAACGTCCTTTTGTACATAAACATTCGAAGAAATGTTTTTTGTAACCTTTAAATAACGTTCTAATCACGACAAGAAAACTGGACATTTTAACGTTCTTAGAATATTATGAATAAACATTCCAAAAATGTTATTATTATGGGTGAAAATAAAGTTGGTAGAATGTTGCAAGAAACATTTTTGTAACCTTTAAATAACATTCAAAAACAATGTTCTTACAACGTTTTTATTAGCTAAAGGTAGACAGGGAAAAGTGTACTGCTGTGAGGAAACAAGAGTTTAATGAAAAAGTTAAGTTTTGCCTCTGGAGACGTATTAATTATTATTTTTTTATTTTGTGTAATAAGTAGATTTTTACATTTGCAGAAAATGTGAGTGATTGTTGCCTAAAATCCTGCCCCTATTATGCTAGGGTATTGCTAAATGAGGTTGCGAAGAGTGTTTGTTAGCTTGAAAATATGCTATAGCTGTTCAGGTGTTTGCATTTTGGTCTCATCAAAAGAGCACATTCTCAAGATGCAGAAAGGTTAGCTCATTCATTCATTCATTACTTCAAGGCTAAAGCACTTGTAATTTTGTTAAAAGTTTTTTTTGGCTGTTTCCAATAATAAGCAGTCAGAATTCTAACAAGGGCCAGAAAACATGACCACATTAGTCTAATATTACCTTAAATACACTGCTTATGCATTACATTCAATATCATTTAAAATAAAACGCTCTTGTTTCTACTAAAATGTCACTAGACTTGAGAACGCAAAATTTCTAACAACACTGCATCGGTCGAAATAATGATGTCATACTGTGTAATTCAACGTATAATACATCCAACGTGTAAAAACATGCATTCTTCTGCTCTTCACTGCAATCATGCAGGTTTATAGTTTGCATTCTTTTAATTCAACTAAGAGGTCAAATCGTAATTTAGCAATCTTCTATTGGTCACACACTTTGGAATGCTGTGAAGTTTGCATGAGCGTGTGTTTCCGGTCTCCTGCATTCGCATTCTAAATGGAAGAAAACACCCTTTACTGTGGGAATCTGTTGTCTAATAAAGGAACACCAATTAGACCCTATCAGTGCTTTGTGTCATAGACAGAGGTAGCATGCAGATACCATCATATTCACTCCATATTTCACTGCACCTTCAAGCTGAAAGCACATGCTTCAGTGTGGATTGATTAGTGCAGCTCACAGCAGAGACCGTCTCAGTTTATAGCATCTACTAGATGCACTGAAGGATTCGTGACAGTCTGCGAGCATCAACCATCAGCATGGAAACAGACTGCTGTCAATAAAGGGCTCACAAAGAGGAGAACATGCACAAATTATGTAGTTTCAAAACAGCTGCAAATGATTCTACTTGTCACAAAAAAACTGCATCACTGATGAAATGATTTCTTCATGTTTTAAGCATAAACTTTATAAAATATTGTAAAAATGAACGCATAGAAAGAAAAGCAGCATGTTAAGAAGAAAAAAAAAGAGTACTGGTAGAGTCCAGCACTTATCCAAGTGTCTTCATCAGTTGTAAAATGTTGGAAGTAACACTAGTGTTTATCATGAACTGCTTCACTGAAGGTGTGAACTGGACCATCAGCAGCATCACTTGTCCTCTGTATATCAGTGAGAATGCTGGAGTCTGTCCCAGCGTCACACAGACACACACTCACTCACTCACACCTGTGGGCAATGTATCGGGTCCGATTCACCGATGCAGCATGTCTTTTGGACTGTGAGGAAACTCGCGCCAGCACATGGACCTGCTAACAAGAAAGACATGATCGTGCTTCAGCCCACTGCCTACTACTGACTGCTGGACAGAGTACAACTCCTGCTTCCCACCAGATGTGATATCCTGATCAATATCACACTATGTTCATTCATTTAGGCCAGAAGATCATATCATAGGATACTGAAAACAGTACACCAAAGGTTCTTGGACAGCATAGCGCTGCTGGATAATTTTCAAATATACATCAGCACATAACACACTTTTCATACTTAGAAAAGCATGTGAACTGGGATTGAGCCAACATCTTGATGTAATGGTCTGCGTCGTCCACTAGAGGCAGGACAAGGGCTTTTCACACATGCAACAGTAAACCGTGGGTCATTCTAAACCCGTCAATCCTGTATGCATGTAGTATGAATACAATCTCAGCATCCTGAATGTTGGCACTGTCATATTTATGTCATCACAAAATGTAACTATATTATCAGCCAGCTCTTTATATAAAGTTGGCTGATATTTACTATACACTGTAGCAAATGTCAGCTGCTCAATTGTTTGTATCATCTCAAAATGTAAACTAAATTATCGACCAGCTCTAATCTGCTAAATGTGACTATAAAGGAAGATAGTAAGAATAAGATATTAAACATTAACATCAACATCATGATTTTCTGTAAAGCTGCTCTGAAATGTGTATTGTGTAAAGCTCTATATACAAAAACTTGACTTACAGTACAACATCTGCTACATTGCTATTCCCAGCCATCACCTTTCATTTACAGTGTGACAAATGAACAGGAAGTAATATCAGCCATTAACTTGTTCAAGAAAAAAAGAAAAGCAACAAATATATGATGAGACGATACCATGTGATGAGATCATGTGGCAACCATGCAGCATACTAATGTTTAAGACATACATATTGCATAAAGTTTCACATAAAAAAAAAAACATAAGCAGTATACAGCACTTACTTAGTATAATGCAACAAGTTAGTATGCCAATCTGAACACAGTCCTTATTATTCCTTATTAATCAAGATTAACTAAAATATTATGCACAAATGAAAGAAAAACACAGATATTGAGTGCCAAAAAAATAACAATAATAAATACAAAAGTAATAATCATATACAAGAAGAAACCTTTAATTTGAATCTTGTTACATGGTCAAGACAATAAGCTACTGATATCAGGCAAAGCAAACACAGCTGTAATACAGTCATCGATTCTTAAATAGATATTGCTTTTTAATTTCATGCATCACTCCGAGTACTGAATGAAGTTCTCTTCCACACTGTGCAAAATACACTCAGTTCTGCATCTTTGTATTAGAGGTACACTTTTGAGGTTCAACACTCGACTATTCATGAGTTCTAGCGCTACAGTTGTGTTCTTCCAGCGCTTATAGACTGCACTTGTAAATGAACTACTGCAGAAAGATTTCCGTCTGTCCTGCATGTGAGTGCAACGGCACACACAGTGATGTTTATTCCCCCAGAGACACACAGATGCATGGATGGACGCATGGAGCTCTTTTGGACGAACGCTTTGTGAGAGAGGACAGATCCTTGTCGTTCCTGCTATCTTGAAGGACTGCTGCTTCCAGACGGAGGACAGCAGAACTGATGCAGCACGCTATCATCCCTGTGAGAGAAGCACACTATAAGAGCAGCACACATGCACTGCACACTCTAGGCCAGCACTTCTCAGTCTCAGCAAGCATTGCGTCAGATTTCACGCCAGACATCACGTGGCGGCCATCAAAATTGTTTATCGTACAAAGGTGAACAAAATGTTCTGACCTTGAACTGCATAGATACAACATTTTTGTAGTTGATGTCCGACCAAACTATTTTGGCACATTTACTGAATGCGAAAGAAGATATTTCTGGTCCCCATTGACTTCTATATTATTTTTTTTCTCCATACTATGGAAGTCAATGTGAACCAGAAACTCTTTGGTTAACCACATTCTTCAAAATATCTTATTTTATGCATAACAGAAGAAAGAAACTCATTCAGGTTTGGAACAACTTAAGGGTGAGGAAATTATCACAAAATGTAAATGTTTGGGTTGAATGATCCCTTTAAAGGGGTCATATGATGTTGCCAAAAAGAACATTATTTTGTGTATTTGGTGTAATGAAATGTGTTTATGCGGTTTAAGGTTAAAAAACACATTATTTTCCACATACTGTACATTATTGTTTCTCCTCTATGCCCCGCCTTTCTGAAACGCGTCGATTTTTACAAAGCTCATCGTCTGAAAAGCGAGGTGTGCTGTGATTGGCCAGCTATCCATTGTGTTGTGATTGGCCGAATACCTCAAGCATGTGACGGAAATGTTACGCCCCTTACCATATCGTGATGCCGTGTCCCGGCGCGATGAGACAAAAACATGAAAACCCATTATAAACGAGGCATTCGTTGCATCCAGTGGGACATAATTATGGATTATAATGACTTATACTGTCTTTTAACAACAAGTGCTACTCTGCACTGCTCAAAACTCGCGTTTGAATCGTCAGTGGCAAATTCTTTAAATATAAAAACGTACTTACATTCTGTGAGTCAGAACAGCCGGCATTGTAGTCTACCACTGATTTCTAGTTGTGTCCTCTTTTGGAAGACCAAACAAAGTAGTTTCGCTTTCACAACAATACTACAGCGAGAATAAAAGTTACGCCTTCTTTCTTTGCGTGAACATTTGGGCGGCGTTATGCAAATCTTCCCACATCGTGACGTAGATATGTGGGGGCATGTTAGAACGAGCCGTTTTAGGTAGGCGTGGCTGACTCTTAACTTTTATAAAGAATATCTCTTTGGATTTGAGACGTTAGTCTTTGCAACTTTACAGATCTTCTTTATGCACCAAGAGCTTGTAACACTCCAAAGAGAAAGGAAAAATTGAAATCGCATCATATGACCCCTTTAACATGACATAGGCTAAATAAGAAAATCGATAATTTTGTTCATCAGAAGTGTAATTTAGCCATTTATTTAATGTAGACTGGGTGGTATTTTTTTCCTTTTGTAGTTTTGTTCATGGTCTGTGAAGGCATCTCTTGTTGGCCTCTAATAAATGTGCCGAAATACCCAAGAGTTGGTCAGATGTCAACAACAAAAATATGAGAAGGTTGATACATTTTTTCCACTGGCTGCATTTTATTATTGGTATTTTATTACCTGATTTTATTTCCCTAACAGCTCTGAGACTCAGTTGAGAAGCGCTGGTCTAGAGATCCCAAAGCACATATCATCTGACTTCTCTCCAGGCTGTTGACTGAAGCATGCTTTATTATATATCTATATTTCTATAGACCAGGGGTGCCCAAACTCGGTCCTGGAGGGCCGGTGTCCTGCAGAGTTTAGCTCCAACTTGCCTCAACACACCTGTATGACTAGTAAGAGCTTGATTAGCTGGTTCAGGTGTGTCTGATTGGGGTTGGAGCTAAACTCTGCAGGACACCGGCCCTCCAGGACCGAGTTTGGGCACCCGTGCTATAGACCAATCCCAGTGTCTGCAGCACATGATGGCAGTAAAGATGCTAGGCTTCTAGCGTACAGTAGGTATGGTATCTTTGGAAGAGAGCACTGGAGAGCACTGAGCTTTGAGTCAGACTTCTGAGTGTAAATACTTGGGTCATTTTTGCCACCAGTTTGGTGTGTGACATTGAGAAAAGATTGGTCTATAATAACACATGGCGCACATCATTTTATTCCAATTTAAAAAATAAGCTAATAAAATTCCAGTTCATGAGAATAATAGGACAAAGAACAGCCATGTGAAACATCTCTAAAAACTCCATGAATCTAATCAAGCTTCAAAATCAGACATTAAACAAATCTAATAAAAAATACAACTGCAGACCATGCATAAAAAATATTTTTTCATTTAGAATTCCGGTAACACTTTACAATAAGTTAATGTTAGTTCATGTATTAACTAACATGAACAAACAATGAACAATACATTTATTACAGTATTTATACAGTTGAAAATACAGTTGTTCACTGTTAGTTCATGTTAATTCACAGTGCATTAACTAATGTTAACAAGCACACCTTTGGATTTTAATAATGCATTAGTAAATGTTGAAATTAACATGAACTAAGATTAATAAATACTGCAGAAGTATTGTTCACTCTTAGTTCATGTTAACTAAAGTAGTTAACTAATGTTAACTAATGAAACTTAGTGTAAAGTGTTCCCATAATTCCTGTAGCTAAAAGGACTACTCTGAGCCACATTCAAAGATTCAACAAGCTACATTTACACAGCAGACACAGAACAAGAGATTCACAACCCACAGAAAACAATTCAGCTGTCAATCGCAAACATGCTTCATATTTCAATTAGGCAAAATAAAAAAAAAATCGAATCATCTTCTTGTTTAAATTGAAGCAATTTCAATCAAATCACATGACATTTCAAGACTTGCAGGATGTTATTCTCATTAAACCTCGCTAAATATTTTGATATAGAAACAAACAAAACTCATTCTCATGAACTGGAATTACAATAAACAATGTAAAAAAAAACAAACAGTCACATCACATTTCAGAATATTCGCCCTGACACTATAGATTCACAAACTTCATATTTACAAATATCTTCAAATACCCCAATCCAAAGATTTCAAGATTACATTTGTTTTCTACCGTTAAATGGTAAAGAAATCCAGGTCTGTAATTGTGAACCACTAAAATATTCAAATTGCTAATCTTCCATCATTTTATTTTGTGATAAAGCCTGCCAACAGTATTATTATTGACAACTTATATTATGCATAAACCCTTTCAAATGACTATAACAGAGATAAAACACACAACTGAACTAGGGCTGTCAAAAAATAATTGGAATTTTGAATATTCGTCGAATTTAAAATAAAAATCCACATTCGAATGCAAAAACGTTGCATTCGAATTTTATGCGTGCATCAGGCAGCTTTATCAGCGGCGCACAAGATGCAGTGACGATGTAAGTGTCATTGCATTATAATGTTTTTGTTAGTCTATCCAGTTGAAGCCACTAGATGCGGCGCTGCTGCGTTAATTACAAATATTGCGGGAAAAGAGAACATCAATGCGGAGATGTTGTTGTTTACGTCTAAAGTGAAACCAAGCCGTTCACACAGAACACATATTTATCGCATTTTCTAGAGGGACATCTATCACCGTTGCACTCACGTCTCGCACATGTTTAGAAAGCCATGTAAAATTAATGCAAGTTCAACTTTGAAAAAAACATATCTTGAGACTTTATGGCAGGGTTTTTCCCATCCCACTGCAACTCGTGTTTTTAGATGAAAAATGTACTCTGTGATTAGCTTTCTGCCATTTGTATTAAACTATGCATACATACATGATGCTGTTTTGTTTATATTTGTTTAAAAGCAACTTAATTAATTATAATTGGTTTATAAACATTTTAAACATTATGTACTTTTTCACAGATAGTCATGTTATCTTATGCTTTGAATAAACGTGCATTAGTAATATTTTGCTCGATGCGCCCTCTTGTGGCCTCAGAAGAGAAGCCAAAAGCTTTTCTTCACCCTAACTGAAATTCTGCATTTTAAATTTGAATTTTGATAATATTTAAGTACAAAATTCGAATTTAGATTTTCAGCCATTTTGACAGCCCTAAGCTGAGCTACTGAGAGTTTGCACAGAACATTATGCAACTTCTGCGTGATCAGCAGTTTACCAGGATGCATTCTGTCAGTCTAGAGAGAGAGTTTAGGACTCGAGCGCCTCTTACCTGCACTCAGAGAGAGGAGCAGGTACAGCTAGCTGCTTAGAGCACAGCGGCGTGGGACAGCAGTACTGGTGCAAAGCATTTACACACCTACGACACAAGGAGAAACAAAGACGTCATCTACTTCACTCTACAAACACACTTCAGCCCACCATGTCCTGCAGTACTCTGGCCAAGGTGTTGATATGATGATGATGATGATTCACACAAAAATTCATCCTCAGTCACAATCTGAAGAAGTCAGGAAAATCAAATGATTTTCTACCGTCTCCTTTCCATTATCAGGTGAATTTAAATGCTTTTAAGCATATTCTCATCTCCAGATAGCTTTACGATCGCTCTCATCCTGTGCAACACTAGCCTTCTGAACTGTTTGCTGTGTAACTTGTTGTGTTGGTGTCTGATACTGATGAATACGTGACAGGTGAAGATGTGAGTTGATTTCTCCATGAGTAGGTCTTTATGTAGCTCTGCACCAGACTGCTGTCACATACACAACGCCACTGCTTCAGTCACAGATTTCCATACACTTGAAACAAAAGCTAACAGGAATAGTTCACAAATAGAGCTTACATGTCACTAATACATTAAATGTTTGTCAAACATAACCACTTCTCATGAGCGATCATGCAAGACTTTTTTTACATCCACAAAAATTGGCAAATTATGTCCCTGGCTGTAACGTAATAAATAAAGGTTATTGCTTATAAAAAAATACATAAATAAATAAAGATGAGGTATTTGTATTGTCCCAACTTCCTGTTTATATTATTTTTAAAAAAGTGTTGTTATTATTATTATTATTATATAGCCTTATTAATATATAAATCACAACATTTTGGCCTCATTGTGCAGCCCTATGAACAAGCACAGCAAACCTGTAATTTTTTTTAATCACATTTCAAATATATTTTTATCAGAAAAATCACAATTAGATTTTTTCCCCCTGAAACTGTGCAGTTCTAAATACAAGTAAAGAAAATAGCAACAATAGCAGTCAAACAACACAAGATAAATATATTTCTGATTATAATGATAACTGGATGCCACTGGCTGACATACACATGCAATGTGATGAGGTCATGTGACAACAATGTAGCATGCTACTAACTGAAATGTTTACCTGTGCACACTTCACACTGTTTTGCATGCTATTTCCGTTTATGCTATTTCTTCTCAAATAAATAGCTAGCAGTTACTGTGCAGCACAAGCAGGACACTAGTATTCCTTAACCACCTTGAATTCACCATTGGATTGTCCTATAAAGTGCCCAAATAGCCTTAAGCCAATGAACTAATGCTAAAGTGCCCTTCAGTTTAACCTTAGTCACCTTGAGAGGATTGAATCTCCAATAAATGCTCACACATCTCCGATGCTGTTTTCAGATGCGTATTGTATGCTTTACATGCTGACAAGAGCAAGAATAAACAAACTGCAAAAATACAAATCTAAAGCTTCAAAAAGATTTCTGCAGTAATTTATGGGACAGATGGCCAGACTGAACACTGCACATGAAGGAGAAATGCATCACAGATCACAGTTCATAGCAGCACATTGTGCTCCAAGCATGTGACTGTGAACTTGCGTCATAATGCACATCAGCTACAGCCAAACACGCACACACACACACACACACACACACACACACACACACACACACAGCAGAGCAAACACAGTGCTATCACTTCCATTTACTGCACAGCACATCCTGAACACATGAGCACAAATGCAGAGCGTCCTGAATAACGCCGTCTCACCATCATGACATTAGTCATCAGACATCACCACAAGCTCCCTGTGGAGCATACACACAATCGCAAGCCCATCCAACAGTCTCCATGTAAAACACATGACTCAGCACCATGGTAAAACATCTGGAGAGCGGCGTCATGCATGCAGACTGCATCTGATACTCACATCATGCTGAGTCTGTGTGCCATGGCCGCGGGTCTGCGTGCACTCGTGTGCCGTACACTTGCTCATTCACACTGCTCAACGCTACAGCGCTGCGTTCCTGGCCCGTGATGTCACACGCGCATCACACACTTACATCAGCAGGTTTGTTACATGCTGCGGGGGAGCACGCACTGACACCGCGCAGAGCAAGGACATGAAATCACAGATACTGCTGAGGAAATGTGTGTGTGTGTGATAAAAAAAACGTTAGGGTATCTAGGGTATATTTGCAGTATCAGCAAAAGTGTGGGTGTGTGTGCGCGCGTGTGTGTGTGAGATATCTTAATGTGTAAGACATGCTCTGCCTCCTCCGTCTGCAGCCTTTAGTACAGTCCACAGCCAAGATAGCTGATTGGCTCTCTGGTCTCCATAGAAACAGGAGGAGAGAGACCCTGAATGCAGAGCCTATTACACACATAATAATACATCAACATCCCAGCCAGAGGTCAAGGAAGGAAGAGAGAGAATCTCTTTCTGCTCTGAGAAATTAAACAGCACGGCTAGTAAATTAATCATTTGTCAATGTGAATTCCATGTGTGGTAACTGCCATGGATATATTGTCACTATCTGAAAAAAATTGTAATGGTACTAAATATATATGAAATCGAGCATATTAAAAATATGGCCTGGCGATGTGCATGAAACCTGTCCACTAAACAGAATTATTAGTATTACCCACCACCTGTCCACTGTTGATTAACTGTCAAACATATTTTGGTGCTACTGCTGTTAAATTGCAACATCACATGAAAGTAAATAAAATAAATGTCACTTAATTCCAAAGAAAATGAAAACTTCACATTTCTGTAATGGTCCAGACTTCACTGGAGAAACGAATGACACTTGACTGGTGTTTATGAATCAGATTGAGCAGTTGTTCTGTACACATCCACTGCTGCTGGACATACTGTAGAATAAACAGAGCTGGAAATGTGCACAAAAAAGGGATTAAAGGGTCCAACTGATGTTAGATGTTGCATGATGCCATTTTAAGGAATGTTCTATTTGGAAAAACAAGACAAAAATAACGTTTGTTTGCAAAATATGGGACACAGCTAAATATAAAATTTTTGGTCATTAAAATTTGTTAATAATTGAGACATTTTTCATTTAGTATGATAAATTGACAATTTAAAAAATCAATTCAATAGACTGTCAAAATTATAACGTTGAATACAGTAGACGTTGTCAGTGGCCAAAATCATCATTTTAAGTAGTGAAATACAGATATCAAAGAAACTAGCTACATTTTATTCTAGGTTTCATTTGTATTAAAGTTTATCTAACATACATAATAGTTAAATTCCTAATGAAGTGATCAAGACATATCCAGTGTCTTATCCCTTTTATAACCTTTTTTCTTTTTTATTCAATCACAGCCAGGCAAAGCCACATTTGACAGTGTGTGACGACCACAGCTGTATTAAAGCCAATTCACAATGCACCGACAGAGGCAGACAAACAACAGCCACGTTTGCTGAGTTTTGTTGGATCAGTGTGCTTTTTCGGGTGCGGGAATGTCTGTGCATTCCTCTACATACTGTAATCAGTCGGCTGTCAGTGTTGCTCTGCGCCTGTCATTGCAGTGTGCATTGGCTTTTAGATTTAAAGGTGACATATCATGAAAATCTGACTTTTCCAGGTTTTAAGTGCTATAATCAGGTCCCCGGTGCATCTACCAACCAAGGAAACATGAAAAAGATTAACCCAGTAACTTTGTTTTGGTAAGTCTTTTTCTGCAAGCATCTGAGAAAACCAGCGCGTCTGATTTCGCTCGCTTGGTGACGTGGCAAAGGGATCTCATTATAATATTACCGCCCCTTAATCTGTACGTTTCCAACGGCGCCGTCATTTTGATTTCACAAGCGACAATGGTGTACTAGTTCTAATGCCATGGAGAAAGTTTGAGCAAAACATGCTAACTGTTCTGTGTTTGGCTGCACAGACGAGCACAGAACACTGTTTAGAGTCCCAGCCTCAGAGGAGACAACAGAGCAGTGCATTTATTGATTTATTTACTGTATATTGCTGCTGCCACACAGATCTAAAATAAACATGCAGATGTTTACCTTCACAGACATTACAATTTTGTAACTCGTGTGTGTTTTTATCGTAAACTTGTGTGTGAATGAGAACTTAGTTTAGTGCTCGCATGCTGTGACAGCCGCTTTCTGTGCGTGTGCTTCGGATGTGTGCGCTCAGAAAACCCTATATCAGAAGTTTAAACTCATATGGTTTAAAACACAAGATTTCAGAGTGACAAAAATGATAATCAGAACCAAAACAGATATTTTTCAGCAGCTCCGAGCTGTAATGGATTTATTATGGAAAAGGGGGCGGGGAGCAGCAGCTCATTTGCATTTAAAGAGACGGGCACGAAAAACAGTGTGTTTCTGCTTCCACTCAAAATAGGCAAATTATAAAATAAATGATCTGTGGAGTATTTTATGCTGAAACTTCACCGACACATTCTGGGGACACCAGAGACTTATTATTATATATTACATATTGTAAAAAGGGGCATAATATGTCTCCTTTAATATGGAAATGTAATTACAGAAAAAGGACTGTGATCATTTTTAGTAATGCTGATGACGTGCAGTTTGAGAAGCGTGTAATTTCCGTTGGTGTATGGCATGAATATTATATCTTCTACTACTCTTCTAACTGTTTGCAATGTTTGATCTCCTCCATAGTGTTTTAAAATACAGCATTCTGTGTAGAAATCAGATGGGTTGAATGTGTTTTGTGGTCTGCGTTCAGACCTTCAGATTCATGACAGCATTTGAATCAAAATTGTTGATCCGTATTGGTGATGGAGAGAGACTATACATTTTGAATGCATATGTATACAGCAGCATGCCATGTCACGAACATATTCATGCTAACAGCCAAAAACGGGGTTTTTTTTATATTTCAGATGAGATTTAATTTCTAAAAAGTGTCCCATGGAAAGCATCAGCGATACAGTTGCAGTGATGGTGCATGGCTGGGAATTCCTGCTTCTGTTTCTGACACCTCACAGACTATTTTCTGCTGTGCAGCTGTGCTAAAAATGGACATGCAAGTGTAACAATGGGCTGTTTGCATTCTATCCACAGACTAAAACACAAGACAGATTTAACTGTGATT